ACGATATGACTTGAAGAAAGATTAGGCTGTGTCCTGAGACCTTTTGATTTGTCCAGTTCACTTTCTCATAATATCACTTAGCTCATTCTTTATGTATTTCCTATATATTAAAATTTTTACATAAAAGCTTTATTAATTTGCTAAAGATACTTGACTGTCATAGATAATGCTTTATTCTTTGTATTGTATTGTTTCAAAAGTACATGCTTTTTTCTTGACTCTTGGTGATGCTAAGATTGGTTGCTGAAAAGTGGGCAAGGATAGTCTTTTCTGAGGTTTCATTTATTGGTCTCCATATATTACAAAGTATTCTGTGTGATGTTTTTGACCCTGTTAGGTTAGTTCCTCATCAACCTTTTGCCTGTTGGCTTAGCACCATTTATATATTTTTCCCTAAATAATTTCATTAAGGCTTCCATAACATGACCTTTCTAATTCTGTTGTTTTATATTTACTAATTGTTTTCTATTCAGGTAGCGCTTATGAAGTGGGACTGTGTGGTTTCTGTGGCATGAATTATTACACGAAAACCAAGTTAAATACTTGAATCCATTTGCCAGTTTTCAAAGTGAACTACCATAATAGTCGCTGAAAAGGTTATAAATGAAAAGAATTTTTGTTTAACTTTTTCTGTTTTGAATATCTATTTATAGACTCCGATTTTATTTGGGCCATTTTGATGTTCACATCACATTTAGTCATTGAGACTTTATGCTAGCTTATCTGTCCATTGATCAAATATTAATTTCAATAAGCCTGCCTTGCTCACTGCCACAGAAACTATCCTAGGCTCACATATACCTCTCTGTTGCAGATCTGGCATCAGTTCTTTGCCTAAAGAAATTTGGTACCTTTAATGTGTTGGAGGCAAATAATTGAGTTCTAGGTGTGTTAATTGTGACTCGAGTGACACTGCTTATAGGCATTTAAGTGAAAAGACCTAGAAAATGCAAGTACTTGGAAACATGAATTCATATTAAGAATTTCAAATTTCTAGATTTTAAAGTAAAATTTCATACTAATAATCATGTATCTTAAAATCATAAGCATAATTTCATGGCTTTTCATATATTATATAAAAGTTTGAAAATACCAGTAATACTACTAACGAGTACAACTATCAAAAGTAGGTTAAAATTACTTTCTAGTGTTTGTTCTTAAAATACTTTCTACCAAGAAATCAGAAGTGGAATGCCTAGACTAAAACAGTCCTTTCCCTGATTGTTGATATTTGTTTTTAATTCTTGAGTGTATGTGTTTTAAATTTTTTAATTGATTTATGAGGAGTGCCTGGAAATGAACCAGCTCTGTGACTGCCCAAACTTCATATAGAATTGACGAGATCGGGTGCATTCAGGCTGGTATGGTCGTATGGAATTGAAAAAAATTGTTTTGAAATTTTAAATGATTTGGAGGTTAAAATTTGGGCTGGAGGGTATAGCTCAGTGTTCTTTTTTAGTAGTATGCTTACTGCCCTGGGTTTAATTCCTGGAATCCCCAGTTCTGACAAACACATATGTAAACACACCAAAGAAAAAGGTCAATATTATCCAAAGATATACATAGCAGTCTGGCTTCCACTTACTCCTGTTACAATATTTCCCTTTCCATCCTCTCTCTTTAGGCTGGACTTGAACTCACCTTGATCCTTCTGCCTTTAGTGCTGGAATTACATGTGTGTGCCACTATTCATAAAGCAGCCATTTTTGTTCCTCATTTATGGTGTAGGTGTGTGTGTATTAATGGTGTTTAGTTTCTAGCAAATATATGTGTAAAATTATTCTTTTATCTTTGTACAAAAGGTATATTTTTGTTTTGCCCTGTTCTGTAGTTTTTGCTTAAAAATATTCTGTTGATTTCTTCAGTTACCACATAGTAATCCTTTTTTTTTTAAAAGGACTGTATCTTTATTTTTTTATAATTAAGCTTATTGGTACAATTTAGGTATACATAATGATCACATTCACTGTAGGAAATTTGTACCTGTACATGATATATCTTAGTTCCTGTTTTTTTCCACTTTCCCTCCCCTCTTCAACTCCTCTTCCCCTTCTTCTTTGCCAAGTTTTGTTTCCATTTTATTCTCTTTTTTCCTTTTTTTCTTTGCCTTTCACTCCTCCCTGAAAGTCCCCCTTTCCATTGAACAATTACTTGCTATTTCACGATATCTGATATACATTGTGGTTCTTATTTATACTTTCAGTTTCTTATACCAGAGAGACAGTACGATATTTATACATAATTTATCTGTTTTATTTCACTTGAGTGTGGTCTCAAGGTCCATTCATTTAGCTGAAAATGTGTCAAATTTATCCTTATTTATGGCTGAGTAGTACTCTGTTGTATTAAAAAAATCTTTTTTAATCCATTTATCAGTTGATAGGATCAGTTGGGTTGTTTCCAAGAGTTAGTTATTACAAACTGTTAATATAAACATGGGTGTATGTATATCACCGTTATGATGCCTTTAATTCTTTTTGGAAGATACCAAGATAATGGGGAATAGATGGGTCAAATAGATGGAACTTCTAGTCCTAGTTTTGTGAGGAATTTTCAGACCGATTTCCACAGTGGTTGCACCAGTCTACACTCCCACCAACAGTGCAAGTGTTTCTTTTTTCCTGCAGCAGTGCAGCAATTCAGCAAGTATTCCTTTTAACCTACCAGTAATGCTTATTGGTTGGTTGATTGGGTAACAATAGACATTCTTTCTGGAGTGAGGTAGAATCTCAGTGTTGTTTTAATTTGCATCGCTGGAATGATCAGTGATGCTGACATTTTTTTCGTATATTTTCCATTTGTATTTCTTCATCTGCAAAGTATGTACTTATCTCAGATGCCCATTCTTGGATTGCATCTTTGAATTTGGAGGTGTCTGATTTTTTTAAATTGTTTATATGTTCTACATATTAGTCCTTTGTCTGAAGAACAATTTTGTCCTATTCTGTAGGTTGTCTCTTTTCACTCTGTTGGTGACTTCTTTTGCTGTACAAAAACTTTTTATAAAGATGGAATCCTAGTTGATTGTTGATTCTGTGAAGCATTCCTTGTGCAGTCTGGATTTTGTTCATGAAGTCTTTGCCTGCACCTATGTCTTTAAGATTTTACCTACTTTGTCTTCCAGCAGATTTAGTGTTTCTATTTTAATATTTAGACTTTGATCCCCATTTTGATTTTCGTTTTGTTCATGGTGATATACATGAGTGTACTTTCAGTTTTTGGTACCACAGGGTAGTCTTGTAGTAGCACAGATGACCCTTTCTTAAATTATAAAAATAAAAGATTTCAATAATTTTGTAAATTATTTTTACATTGAAAATAATACTGAACACTGGGAAATGGCTCTGTAGGGCTGAATGCTTAGCTAGTACGTGCTAGGCCCTAGGTTTGATCCCCAACAAAGTTAAAATAAAAAAAAAAAAGAAAATGTTGAAATTAATAATGAGTGGTGTGCTTGGTTTGATGACACATGCCTGTAATCCCAGCACTCAGGAAGCTAAGGCAGGAGGATCACCATAAATTCAAAGCCAGCCTCGGCTTCATAAATGAGTTCAACACCAGCCTGAACTGCATAGTGAGACATTGCCTTAAAAAAAAAAAAAGTGCTACAAAGAGAAAACAGAGTAACTAGAAAAAGGCAATGAATTGGGTGAAGTTTGAATTGAATTTTGAAGGTAATGTATCCTGAAATAGGTGAACAGAAATCTTAGTGTTGGTCTTTACAGGGAGGCCTTAGGCAAAATAACCTTTGGTGATAACAAATATCGTTGTCAGAAAAGTCATAAGATTGGTGAGGTTTGAGTTCAAGAAAAAAGTGAGCTGGTGTGATGGATGAGAATCACAGAAATGTCAAGCTGGGTGTGGTTGCCTAGCCTGCAATCCCAGCATTCGGGAGATTGAGACAGGATGATTGCTACAAAGGCCAGCCTGAGCTACATAGTGAACAACCATAGCAAAAAAAATCACAGAAATGTCAAGATATTTGGTGATTTTTGTAGTTAGTTGAGAATGAATTCTTTATAGAGGTTTTAATGCTAACTATAGTATGTAACAATTTGATATAACAAGAATGCTCAGTTGATTACATTTTATTTTTTAATTTAAAAAATTTTTAATTTATTTTTTGTGTTTTTAAGACAGGGTCTTGCTATGTGGTTCAGGCTGGCCTTGAGCTCACTTTGTAGCCCAGGCTGGTCTCAAACTTGCTGTGATCCTCCTGTCTCAGCCCCCTGAGTGCTGGGATTGCAGGGATGCGTCACTGTGCTTGGCTTGATTACTTTGATTAAAAGGGAGTGCCAGTTTTTCAACCTCAGTTCTTTATTACCTAGTCATATACAAGCAAGGTCTGGTTAAGACTTTAGGTGTTATTTCTTTGAATTGAACCTTATAAAATGGGAACTCTACAAAGGTTTAAGTGATTTGTTGAAATTGTACATCTCGTTGGAGGTGGATAGCCTGCACTTAAATCTACTAAACTTTTGGGTTCAAATCATCTTTCTACCTCAGCCTCCCACGTGTTGGGGCTATAGGTGTGTACCATGGTATTACCATGCCCAGGTACCATGGTACTTCTTAACATGGAAAACTAGAAATTGTATGGTAATGACCTTTCAGCTAAGAGCAGAGTTTTGGTTTTTTTTTTTTTGGTTTTGATTTTTTTGTTTTTGTCACTGCATATGTTAGTTGTGATTCACAGTGTGGGTTTTAATTTTTCCTGTATACTTAAATTGTGAAGTATAGAAATTACCTTTTACTTCAGGTGCATTTTTAATGTAATAAGAAAAGGGACTTAAAGATTTGTTTTTGCTGTAGAATTGTTTTGAAAGTCCTTTTTGGAATTAATATATTTGTCATTATTTCTTTATTCTACGTGGTAGGTTACAGATGAATATATTGATAATCTTTTATAACTAGTTATACTGGGGAAAGATTACTTTTTACAGTTGGCTAATGTTTTAAAATGTGTGCGTCTTTGTATTGTTGCATATTTCAGATGTTTCCTTAACCTCAGTATTTAGATATTTATCCAAACATTATTGCTATGGGATTTCCTGCAGAAAGACTTGAAGGCGTATACAGGAACAATATTGATGATGTAGTAAGGTAAGAACTCTTTTGATTTTGTTTCAAATATTGATGTATATTTATATTCTTATTGTATTTTCATTTAGAAAATATTTCTAAAACAGAAAAAGATAGGCAGTGTGATGTAGATTTCATTTTACTATGGTAGTGCTCTGTAACTCCTTTTTAGGATAGTGTACCTGGGGCCAAGCATATGGTTTAGTGGCACAAGTGCTTGCCTGGCAAGTGTGAGGTTGTGAGTTCGATGCCCGATACCACAGTGTACCTAATGAACTTCATGGGGATATATGGGGATATAAGAACATATATACCCAAATTTTTAGGTGATTTTTGGATTCCGTAAGGTGCTTCTAGAATCAATGTCTAGATTCCAGTACAAGGTGATACTTGGTTTTTTTACAGTTGGAGATTAGGCTTAAAACCTTATGGTAGATTTATTTAGTTATAGTTACTCACACTGAGGCAGAGGTGACTGATACCAAATATTTTTTGTAAGAGCAGTTTTTAGTGGAATATGTGTGTACCAAGTACCCAAGAGTATTTGGTAGAATGACTATAGAACAGAAATATTGGACTTACCAAAGTTTAAATCATTTTTTATAATTTGTATAATTTTATAAGGACAGGACAAGGAAATTAAAATATTCTTTCAGTACAGAGCAGTATCTGAAGGCCCTTTTAGATATTATGTTTCAAATACATTTATAACTTAAGAATACATGAAAATTTACACCTAATGTGCAAATAGTCTTGATATATCTGGTTTCACAGCAAAAGTGTATATGCCTGAATAAATTAACGTCAAATTTTTAGTATAAACAGTAATAACTTTAAAAGTTAACATTCTGAAATATTTTCATTATTATCTTTCATTAGTTCTTTCTTGAGACTTCTAATTTAAATATTTGGTGATTATGTGAATTAGATTTTGTCATGGGTGGGAAAACTAACTCATGTAGATGTGAATCTTTTATAATAGTGTATGTATAGTGTAGTATAAATAGTATATTACTATATCTTTTATGAGCTAGTTATAAATTTTTCTAAGTGGTTTTAACAACTTTCTTTGAACCACAGTATAGTTATATTTTTATAGTATTGAGTTGTGTTCAGTTGGAATTTTGTAATGTTTGTATTATACTTAGAATTCAGTTTCAAAATTTGCAAAAAGTTCCTCTTCTGCCTGCCTTGTAATTTCAATTAAAATTATGGTAGAGTCCTAGAGGTATTCTTTAAGAATCTGTAAAGAGAGAAATTCATTTCCCTTGTCAAAATTAGACAGGACATAGTAGAAGGATAGTTAGTATTGCAGGTAACACATCTTACACACACACACACACACACACACACACACACACACACACAATGGGCCATAGAAAAAAGAATGAGGAAGATAAATTATGAATTAAGAGAGGTAGTGAATCTGGGAGATGAGCAGTACTATAGAGTCATCAGACATGTATCCATCTTCTATGATGCCAAATACTTGCAGGCTTCACTATTACCTGTATGTAATATCTTACAAGATGCTGCACTTCACATTACTATAATTGTATATTTGAGGAGGCCGGATCACTAACATAGTTACTACTGAAAAGAACATGATAGACTGGGTATGATAATCATTGTTTGTAATCCCAGAATTCTGTGGGGCTGCTGCAGTACAATTGGGCAGTTTAGCCAGACTTTAGCCAGACCCTATTTCTTTCTTTCTTTCTTTTTTGAGACAGGTTGCAGTTCGCTGTGCAGTTCAGGCTGGCCTTAAGCTCACTTTGTAGCCCAGGCTGGTCTCGAACTCGCAACGATCCTCCCACCTCAGCCTTTAGAGTGCTGGAATTACAGGCATGAGCGACCATGCCCAGCTCCAGACCCTATTTCAAAACAAAAACCCGAAAGTAACCTGGGTTTGTAACTCATTACAGAGACCCTTGGTTCAATCTCAGCAACCTCCTAAACCACCCCCTCCGCCCCCAAATAACCAACAAAACCAAAACTCAGTAGAGGACAAGCTGTCTGATCTTTATTATAAGGTTATCCTTTTGGGACATCAGTCTCGCATACTATTTTTTGTATTAGTCTTTTCTGGGTGTGAATAACTCACTGAGGGTCATCGATCATTGTTTAGGTTGCTGGTGAATTTGGTGCTGTACGTGCACAGATGATTAGCAGATTTTATATTGTTGGTAATTTCACCAAAAACAAAACCAAAACAAAACCCCTAACTATTTAGGGTGCTATTTTAGTCCTTCATATATAGATTTTATTTCTCCTGTGTTTCTGCTCCAAAATTAAAGGATTCACATTCAATTTGTAATCAGTGGCCAAAGCTAAAATTTGTTCCCTCTCCCTTTAATCTTGAAAGAAATTTCATTTAGCCATATGATTTTTTAAGATCTATTTTTTAGAAATAGTTTTATGTTTGGATATTAATATAGTGAGTGGGCCTTATACTCAACTGATCTTACAAGGTGGATGCTTATGCTGCTGAGCTAAATCCCCAGCCCCATGATCTTGTCACCTATTATAATAATATTAATAGCATATCAATATGAAGAGTTAATAGCTGAATATGATAACTATGTTGTCCTTGTTTTATTTTGTTGCCTTTTTGGTCATTGGTAGTGGTGGATAAATGACAGCAAAGTATTTGTAGCTTTTATTGCCCAGTTTTCTCCTCCTGTTTTTTTTCCCTCTTCTTTAAGGAAAAAGATGAACAGTGACCAGAAAGGAAGTATAGTTTTTCCTATGAACTAAAATAAAAATAAATAATTTCTAAGTAATTTGCCTATTAGGATTGATCTCTTCAGGGTGGTTATTGTGTCTAGTGTCTGATTGCCTGATTTTCTTAACTGGTTCACAATTCATTGAGGACATTAGTAATAATCATTAATGATTCAGGGGCTGGAGATATGTCTCTGCTGGCACAGCATCTGCCTGATGAGTGTAAGGTTGTGAGTTCAATACCTGGTACCAAACAAACAAATGGGGAAAAGTGAACAAAGTTGAAATTTTTACTGTCTTAACTGTAAATCTTTTGCTTAGTAAACAATCAGAGCTCATAAAGCAAGACAGGGCAGGGAAATTAAAAAAGCTAACTCTTCCAAAATTGTTTTTTCTTCTTAACTACGACCATTTTTCCTGCTTATACCTTGCCACTAAGTTTTTTGCCCTAACTTGGGCAAAAAACAAGGAGTTGTTTTTTGATGTGTCTTAATCTTGTCTCTGAGACTAACATTGAAGTAATCTAATTTATATTATTGACATAAATAAATCTAAAGAGTATTTAACAAATTGGTGCTTTCTGTGTTTAAGAGGTATAATTTAAGAACTGTCTTGTCCTTCATAAGTCAGGAAAATACAGGTTTAATAAGGACTAAATGAGTTTCTTGTTTAGAACCTTTACCATGTCATGATGCATTATAAATCTTGCAAGTGAGATTCTAGCAGGATTTTCTCCCCTTTCCTCCTCCTTTCCTTGTCTTTTCTTTATAGTAGTTTCAGTATCTGTCTAAATAATGTTTCTTGAGGCATAATTTGGGAAATGTTTAAAATGCATATAAAATACTTATCAATCTGTAGAAATGATTTGCTTCCTCTTTTGTTGGGCAGTTTTTGGTGGAAGATTCTCATAGTTTTAAGGAAATGGTTAGATCTTGATCTTTTAATATAAAATTGCTTTTAAAAACATCCATTGCCTCATAGATGCATGCTTCTTTACTCATGTATAAGCACCTGTATGAGCCATGTTCTTCCTTACAAGCTGTTACAGGCATTTTCTTCCTGAAGAAACTATTATTTTAAAGAGATTAAAAGAAAACAAAACAATGAAAACAATACAGTAGAAATGATACAGGGTTTTGAAACAAGCTGATAAGAAATTAACAATAGTCACTAGTTGCATATTGTTGTTTTCAAAGTAGTTGCTTAGATGATAAGATACAAGCATGTCACGCAGATCAAACAATATAAGGAATCACAGTTTCCCTGAACTAATAGGATCAATAGTACAATTATCTTAACTATATGGTGTATGTGTGTGTGAATATATGTATTTTTCCACCTTTGTTCTTTCCTCTTTTACTCCATCCCAGTCGTTCTTTCCTTTTGAGCAATTTTATTCCCTTTCACAATATCTCTGATCCCTTTTGAACCTTAATCTTTTAGTTTCTTACATACAGGTGACAATACAGTGTTTATACATGAGAGTCTGATTTATTTCACTTGTGTTTATGGTCTTGAGTTGCATCCATTTACCTATAAAAGCCTCAAGTTTATTCTTCATAGCTGAATAGTACTCCACTATATTAAAAACATCCTTTTTATTCATTCCTCAGTTGATTGTCAATTGGTTTGATTAGCTGTTACAAATTATGCTGCTGGAAACATATGCGTACACAAATTGCTGTGGTATGATGTTTTTAATTTTGGGAAAATACCCAGAAGGAGAGTAGCTGGGTTGAATGGGATTCTAATCTCAGTTTTTTGGGGAATCTCCAGATTGATTTCCACATTGGTTTCCCAGACTACACTCCTACCACCTGTGGAGAAAGGTTCTTTTTTCCCCCACAGCCCTGTCAACATTTATTCTTGGTTGATTGTTTGATGCTAGCCATTCTTTTTGGAGTAAGATGGAATCTCAGTGTTGTTTTAATTTGCATTTCTCAAATGACCAGCGATGTTGAACATTTTTTCATATATTTATTTGCCATTTGTGTTTATCTGCAAAGTGTATATTCATCCTGGATGCCCATTTTTGGGTTGGGTCTTTGAATTTTGAGGGTCTGATTTTTTAAAATTCTTCGTATGTTCTAGATAGAAGTCCTTTGAGGGACAGTTGGTGAAGAATTTTTTTAACCCGGTTTTCTTTTCATTCTGTTAGAGAATCCTTTTGACATGCAAAAACTTTTTAATAAGATGAAATCCCAGTTGTTGATTCAGGGAAGTATTTCCCATTCAGTTTGATATTGAACTCTCTGCCTGCACCTATGTCTTCAAGATTTCTAACTGTGTCTTCCAGC